AGAGAGTGTCTCTATTACCCGAGATCATATAAACAGCACCTCCGTCACATTATTATCCCCTACCCCTCAACATCTCTATTCAATGCTGCATAATATTTACAATATTTGTGATCATACCAAAAATTGAATTGGCATGCCATACAAAATATGTGAAGATTATGATTTTCATCCCATAGTTTTTAGGTAAGATTGTGTAGTCAAACTATAGAAATTGTGACCGATGATGGCATTGGAAGTACTAAAATGATGGGCAAATTCTATTAAAGCATAACTAAAATTACATGGAATTTTACAGTAGCTTGCATATTGCATATGTATTAAATAATATAATATTGCAGAAAAGTTTCCGTGTCTATGCATACTTTTACCGTATGTCCACAACCCTGAAACATTTGCATAATTATAATAACAATACAGTCATATAAAGAACAATAAAGTAAATAGAATATACATAAGTTTAGCGATTGAAACACTGCACAAACCAATAAGTAAACATATAAATAAATTAAAACAAACATACTTGCGATCATCGCCAAACCTTTGAAACTCACAGCCAACGATTTATGCAGTCAGCAGGATGCATCGACTGCACAAACTTTTCCAGAAGTTCTTTGACATGTACTGCCACTGTTGATTCTTTCAAGAAGGGCAATAGACAATTTTATATACCCATCGCTCGGCCGTGCACAGTGTTTTCACCTCGAACGTCAGAACGCTAATGAGTGAATTTTTTATTTTACTCGTGATGCATTGCGGTCGTAGTGCGATCACCGCCTGGTATATGGCGTAAATAATGGTCTACATAGCACGTTAAACAAGAGTAGTTATACGCGTAATGTTTGCATTTCATGCGTGTAGTGCTTGTTGTTTTTTGCAGTAGCTTAAAACAGCTTATATTCGCAGATTTTACATCAAATTCAGTTGTTTTTGTTAATTCATGAATTAAAAATAACACTCTTTCATTGACTTTTGCGCATTTTTTTCAGTTTCTGAAGTATCTGGGATATAATGGCGGATAAAATCGGAGATAATGCAACGTCAAACCCAAAAAAGGTGAATACAGTTTATTATAAATTCAACAGTCGTATATAAATTTAAACTTCATTTTGTTTAAATAATGTCACTAGCTACAGCAAATGTGTTTTCACAAATGTGCTGCTGTTATACACCTTTCCAGAAGTATTGTTTACATAAAATAAACGAAGAGAAAATTTCACGCTTTAAATTTATATAAAAGTACCTGAACCTGGTAGTAAGATACAGCATAACCATGCCCTTAGCTATAGGTATCCAGCTTAATAAAATCTTCAGCTTCACTATTTTCGTTGAACACATTTACCGATTACAGATCCATATGTTTGTATTTTTCCCTGATAGTTGCGAGTTGTTCAACATAGTTCATGTTCAACAGAAAAGGTACCCTGGTTCCAGAGGCTCTTTGCGAGGCGAAATAAACGAGAGGCGAGAAGGAAGAGCATCTGGTCACATCGGTTGCAAATCCCGCTTCCACACTTGATAATTAGGTTCAGAATTTGAATCTCGCATGTGATTGGCCATTTGTAAAAATATGCCAAACCGGTTTGGGAAAACAACATTACTTCAAGCTATAAAAGCTATAATTTGCTTGTCTATTTCCCAAACCGGTTTGACATGTTTACAAATGGCCAATCACATGCGAGATTCAAATTCTGAACCTAATCAAGTGTGGAAGCGGGATTTGCAACCGATGTGACCAGAGGCTCTTAAATCTCGCCTCTCGTTTATTTCGCCTCGCAAAGAGCCTCTGGAACCAGGGTACAGAAAAGGATTTACAACCAGTTGTTTTTGCAAGGCCACAAGTCGCTTCAGTCGGTTGAAGATTCTCTAGCTACTAACTTTTTATATTTACTAACGGTAACATAATTCACTTCCTGTGAGGAATAATTAAAAACACAACTCACACATGTATTTTCCACGTAACATGGTACAAAAGCAAACAAAAACAGATTTAACATTTTCCTAGATTTGTATCTAATTAATACCCTGAATTTAAAACTTACATATATTTATCGATGTGTATTTCTATATGACATATCTTCAATATTTATCTTACAGTATTTGCTCGTTGTATAAACTTTGTAATTGTGATGTCTAGTAATTGTCACAACATTAGTAAATATATTTTATTGTAGCCAGGTCTATTATGGTCTGGTCTGGTCTGAGAGATGTGACCTTTTCAAGGGAAGTTGCAGCAGAGGGGTTGTTCACCAAGGAGAAGAAATCAAGAGAGAGAGAGGGTTGGGATGGCAAACCGTTGCCAATAATTTAAACCCAGTTTTTGACACAGAGTTGACACCCAGGCCTGTGAGGGACCACTATAACTGCTTATCAAAGAAGCACAGAGCAAGGGTGGCAAGAGAGATGCGAGCGACAGGAGAAGGGGG